CCTCACTATGGTTCATGCTAGCCTTGAACTCCCTATGTAATCTGGCCTTAAAGTTGGGCTCATCCTCCTGTCTCAGCCTCCTGAGTCCTGGGATTACAGGCATGCACCACCATGCCTGTCTCTTTTTGGTTTTTTGAGGCATCATCTTGCTATGTAATTCAGGCTGCCCTTGAACTCACTACGTAGTCCAGGCTGGCCTCAAACTCATGGTGAGCCTCCTGCCTCAGCCTCCATACTGCTGGGATGACAGGCATGTACCACCACACTTGGCCTCACCCCATGTATCTTTCTTGGAGAGTGGAGGTGTTTTGTTTGAGACAGAATCTCACTTTGTTGTACAGGCTGGCCTTGAACTTACTGTGTGCCCAGGTTGGCCTGGAACTTGTAGTGATCCTCCTGTCTCACCTTCCTGAGTACTGGTATTATAGGTGTGCACCACAACACCCAGCTCCCATACATCTTTTACACTTCCTTCCCACAAGCTACTTGGAGAGTATCCAGGTTACTTTTAATTCACTTTCACTTAGCCAGTAATTGACATTGAACGCCAGTACTTATGTCCACTGTTTTCAGTTGTTGTTTTGTTTGTAGTAGTGGAGATTAAACCCAGGGCCTTCACACAAAGCTGCATCCCAAGCCCTTTTTTTATTTTGAGACAGTCTCTCTAAATTGTCCAGGCTGGGCTAGAATTTGTAATCTTCTTGTTTCAGCCTCCCAGAGTTCTAGGATTATAGGCATGCACCACAACCCAGCTTTACCTCCAGTTATTTTGTTGGTTGTTTTGTTTGTTTGTTTGTTTGTTTTTACCAGGGATCAAACTTGGGACCTTACACTTGCAAGGCAGGCAGCAGAACTACTAAACTAAATTCCCAGGCTGGCGAGCTCCAGTTTTTCAGTTTTTTTTTAAAGTCAAATTTATCTGGGCAAGGGATATAGCTCGGTGGTAGAGCACTTACCTATCATGCCTGATGCCCTGGGTTTAATCCCCAGCACTGCAAAATAAACACATAAATAAAGTCAAATTCATCCAACCATTTAATTTGGTCTGGAGAATTTCTGTTAATCTCTCGAGGTCTCTAATCCAGTCCTCTGATACTGTTCTTGGTTTGATATTAACAGAGGCACTTGTCCTCGCTAAATGTAAAGTAGCTGTCTCCCACAGTGTCCAAAATTTTCGTATACCCTAGACAGGACTGGCACTTCCTAGGTACCTCCTAAATGTGTTTTCAGCCTTCCCCAGTATTTTCAGGCTCCAGTCTACCTCTTACCCAATAGAAGAATCTTCTGCCTTCCCTTGCCTTAGCCAAGGGCTACTGGTGTCCTGGGACCC